GGTCTCTGACCTAGTTTTAAGCGTGTAATAAAAGAAAGGAACTTAGCCTTTTTGTTGGGGGGTCTGCAACATTGAAAAAGATGAAGAACGACAAAATATTTGCAGAGAGGTTTTTTGAGAGTTCATATTGAAAACTCATGTGGCTGTTCCTTGTTAGCCTCCATGAGTGATTAAATAATCATCTTTTCATATATGTGTGAGTTCATGAGCATTATGCATGTTGGTGATCAACAATCGTGCCTTGAGGTGTGAGCAGCCGAGACTAGAGTTGTGCCATCTCTTGTTGACGAAGGAAGACAAGATCGCTGGTTGGGTTGAGTAGCAAAGGCGAGTAGGCAAGTCTGCCTTGTGAGCGTTAGTCTTGTGAGTTGAGACTTGTAAGACCTTTTTGTATTCTTTCTCATAGTGATTTGTTCTCCGGCATAGTGCCCGCAGTTGTTTTCCTCATCTTGAGGTTTTTTACTGCGTCAACATATCGTGTGTCCCTTGTGCAATTGTTTGCGTTTTTATTTGAATTTATTCTGCTGCGTATTCTGGAATTTTTTGGTTACAGGATTGTTACAGTATTTCAATCCTGTTGTGGTTTTTTGAGTATTAAGAAACAGATCAGTTTGCCATTCTAGGGAATTTCACAAACAGCTCAATCAACCCTCTGCATTTGGAACCAAAACTCTGGTCTCATCTCTTTCCTGCAAAATGTAAGTAGAAATATATAGTTACATTTAATTATATGTTCAGAAAAGGACTTTCTTTTGGAACTCGCTAGGAAAAATGGGAACTTGAGCTCACTGCCATGGCACTTGAATCTCTGTTAGAAGATGAATTCAACCAAATTGGCTGGTTGGATATTAATGGATGTGCATAAATCCTGCTCATGAGCACCCATGGTCAATGATATAAAAACACTAATTAATTTCTTTTGTCAAGATATGAATGGTAGTTGGTAATTATGATTGAATGAGTAAACAGAAATGCAAAAATGAAAAGGATATATAGGTACCCAGAGTCTAAGGACAGAGAAGAAGGAAGCTGGGCAAGAAGATCACAGGAATTTTGTTCTTGAGTGCTGCATTGCATCTCTGCATGGAAGGACTGGATAAACTGGAAAACTAAGTTCATTTCCTCCATTAGTCTGAGTGTTCTCATCAGCCCCAGAAAAACAACAATCCATCAACTCAATAAACCTAAAAAATAATAAAATAAAATAAAAATTAGTCACAAAAAGAAACATGAATTAGTAACTGTTAATTAAAAGGTTCCTCTTAACCTTTGGTCTTCACTCAGTTTCCAAATAACACAATAATCCTAGCCTTTCAAACCCACAAGGGGCCTAAGCCTCTCAGTCAGATTTTGCATAATGATGGCATATCTACAGAGAATTTATTCAATAATGGATATTTCTTTAAAGAACAATCTATTGAATCTCATAATACGCAGAGATAATAATATTCCAAAAGCCACAAGAGACCTCAATTTCTGAAATTCTTATTACAATAATTCCTCAAAAGCTCCTTCACCCAGCCAGTCATGGCCAAAACCAAAAGTTCCAGCCATCTGTATAAACAGAAACCAAAAGGCATAAAAGTAAGACAATTTGTAACAGTTATAAGTGAAAACAATAACCGATTACAGCTAGCCAACGTGCTAATCTAATGATTCCAGA